TACGAGTAGTCTCGAAATGCTGCCTACAAACGAAAAATGTCATTGAGATGTCTGTCCGCCAAACTTTGGCTTCCGGTACAGCCGCTCCACGAGTCTCTTCATAGTTTTTTTTCGTACTGAATCACAATGACGTTAATTTCGCCATCAAGTACTTTGAAATTGTCCACTTTTTTTCCATTTTCGACTCCCAGAGTTGACCTTCTCTGGCGGTAGACGATTGACAACTGATTCCGTTTGGATCTTGTCACCATGCCACAACTTCATGGTTTGGGTGGGATTTGTGGGATTTGTGTGATTTGTGTGATTTGTGGGCAGATGGTGAGTCACGTTTGCCCCTTGATGGCCTGGCTTTCGACAATACCTTGGCTAGTTTCAACTGTGCGGGTGATTTATAAAAGTGGCTTGACCTCGTTTTTGCAGCTTGGTCTTGTTGTCAAGGCGACCCAGTTGGACGCACCTTGTCCGAAGTGCTTTGCCATAGTAATCATGATAATAACCAGCATGAGAATGCACCAAGTCCACGGTCTGGTGCTGGTAAGTATGATGACTACTATGGCACAAGACTTCGCCAGGACAACAAGACTAAGTTGCGAAAACGAGATCAAGCCAATTCCGTAAATCGAAAGTAAACTGCGACCATACCGAGGGTCGTACCATCTTGGTCTTCATATCTTCGTGCCGATAAGTGTTGTTTTCTGTTGAGTCGACACCGATTGAACCCAATCAAACCGCATTAAGTCCACGTTTTCTCTGCATTTTTCCGGTACTTTGCTTCGTTTTTAAGTGACAAATTTGTCGCACTCGTTTCCGGTCATGTCCTTTGCTCGTGAAGGCTGACCTTGGCTCGAGTCGCTTCGCAAGTCCACTTCGTCTTTTCACGTATGAATCCCTTGTTCGGTATCGCAGGCCTCTTCTGTTGCTACCCTCGGTCTTGGGTCCTTGTTGCGATTGCCGGACGTCAAAAATGCAGTTGATGGCCAGCTTGGAGGCGGAGAAGTCATTATTAAGTATTCTGCAAATATCTCTTGGATTGTGAGTATTGTTGACATTTTATGGAAATCATACCACTTGTCAGAATTCTGTATTTACACTTCTTTCTTAGCATCACACCTTCAAAGGGCATGCCGCGTTGTGCTCACAAGTTTATGCATAATCCTGCCCGATGTGAGCTCTCTCGTTTCCTTTGTTCCGATAGAATGACACCTCTTTCATTCTCCACACCCCGTTGGTAAACTATCAAATTAAACTATTTAAATAAATTATCTCTCTCTTTGACCAGTCGAAAATATCCTGCTTGCATTGGCTTTTTTGGCGTATTTGCAGGCTTGTGTGTGATACGACGGTTTCCCATTTTAAGGCATCTCTTATTTCCGGTCTTTGAAATTCCTCTGGGGCACGCTTTTCACTGTGATTCACATTTTCTTTTCTATTGAAATTCAACACACACTCATTTCTAGGTCATTTGGTCAGTTGAGTTATCCGTCTCTTCTTGGCCTCAGCTTCTGGAGCATCAGACTTGTTTGCCAAACTTGGAGTGGCAGGCCGGAAAAGGACAAAAATTTGCCTTTTTTGCGATTGCCTTGACCGCATGAAACGGAATATATTTCCAAGTTACCGCTTTCTGAGAAAAATATGCAACTCAACTGGCTTAATAAGGATTTTTGTATTTTAAGTATTGTTTTCTTGACCACCAGTAAATCAGTAATATGAGATGTATTCGCCCAATTTCGTTTAAGGTGACGAAGGACTGGTAGAAGAAGAATTTTCCCACAATCCTGTGTGTAGAGCATTTCACATAGTCTTGTTTTCCCCAAAAGTTGTTCTCATCCAAGCAGAAGTGGACTGCATTTTCGACCTCGCCTCGGGAGTCGAACCGCGACAGTTCAGAATGTGAGCTTGACACGTTAACCACTCGGCCACATTGCCACGAGTGCCCTTGGGTCACAGGGTAGGTGTGAATTTTGCCATATCATAAGCTTTGGTGGGATTGTCGATGAAGCAAACGAATGTTTGCTGTAACTTATTTTTCTTATCTGAGTAGAGTTTCTAGATTCACGAGGCAACTCGGTTTGGCCTGTTTGACATACTACTTATAGCAGACTACTCTCATTGAAATCGCCATTTTCCAAGTCGTGTGAGTGGGATTTTCTCGATCTTTTGTGAACATTCGTGAATGACTGCCTATCAGAAAGCACAATTTCCCTGTAGACATCGTCAAATTCGAGTCTCCTCATTTGGCTTTGTCGCGAAATTTCGTCGACTCTTTAGCCGCCCTCAATCGTCTGTTTTCCAGCGGATATTTTCACTTTTTGTCGGAACCTTTTCCTATTCACAACCACTTCCCTCCCTTTCTCATTCTTCCCCAGCTCGACAGTACAGACGAGCAAGCGGCCCAGGTTCGTCGTGAGCTGGCAGACCAACTGGCCCTCATCGAGGAAGCGAGCCGAGTGAGTATGATTGTTGATTTTTCCGCCCCACTCATCACCTGGCCTCTGTGTGTGTGTGTGTGTGCGTGTATGTGCTCGCCCATATGACTCTGTTGAACTTTTACTATATTCCATATACATACTTTATTGTTATTATTATTGTTAGTCATAAATTATTATTATGCATTTCTACTTTGCCAAGTATGCCTTGCCCTCTCTTGACCGTATCATCGTTGGGCCCCCTGCGCCCCTTCGCCTCACATACGCATACTTCCATCTTACCCTCAATCATACTGCCTTGGTCATCTGCCGATTGGTCATACTTGAGTGGTTTTGGGTCAGGACCAGCTCCTGATGCTTCATTCTCTCGTCCCGACACCACGACCTGCCAGTGAACATGTAGACAAATACTTTTTTGGCTTCTTCTTTCCTTCTGTCTGTCGCTCTCTGTGTGTCTGTTTCCTTTTTTTCTTTCCGTTTGGTTCGACTTCGTCTAGAACGATGCATTGCCGAGTGATAGATCACGCTTGAGTGAACCCATAAAAGAGCTTTGCCTAATCGCGGGCATATTGTCTCGTCTATAGTCGCAGATTAAGCGTGTCTTCTTATTAACGAAGAGGCTCTTGGTGAGAGACACTTTGTCGTTTTGCGGTTTACTCGCCTCATTTTGGGCAAAGATCGTTTTTGCCTCGTGAATATTGGGAAAAGTATGCTTTTTACATAATTTTCTAAATGAACTCTTCATTTTTACGGCAGACTGGATTGCAGAGGCGTCGTAGATTGTCCGCACCGGAGACCATTGGCAGTCACAATTGTGCAAAAACAATCCGATTCTCTTTCGGTTTCCAGTGAAGCCAATTGACGACTTTCCTCTAACCTACCCTCCCTTCGAGTTGACAAGTTGCCTGATATTACATTTTAATTTATTAACGCTGTCTGTTTATTGTATTCTTTTTGGCCCAACAACCGGCTCAGTGGCCGATGAAACACTTTCCAGAGAAAAATGTGTAGAATACTTCACTTCACCTTTCCGTCTAGGTTCAGGCATGGCATTCTACCTCAAACATCCGCTTCAAACTGTACATGTTAGATCGGGCCTATTCGGAAGATTTGGGGCCGACTCTCGAATCGAACCGTTTACCGTCATTTCCGACGTCATTTCTCCTTGTGAAAAACCTATTCTATCTGAATATTTTTCCACATTGAGAGGGAAAAACCAGTTTTTAAAGTTTAAACAAATATTTTAGCATCAATTTCGTTTCAACGTACAATCAAGACATTACTTATAACGCATTAAGTAGGCATACCTGCTTTGATTGTTGATAGCAACACCATGACAGTCCCCTTTACAGTATGTACTTGTTTTTTTTTACTTTTTTGACAATTTGGTAATGTTTCCAGGGCGATACCTCTTGACCAGTTGTGGCTTGGTGCTTAAAATGACAAGACTGACTGACAACGCCATTGAAACATTTGGCAATGTACCAAGTCACGTTTCCGACGCTGAAAATTATCCCGACTGCTATGGCCGAGGACGTAGGACAAGCTGAGCTCACCGAGGTCGCCTTGACAACGCGATGAAATTGTGAAACTGAGAATAACCCATGTCTTGACTGATTAGTTACCTACCGTTTTGAGGTCTCTTCACATCAAAACTAAGTGACGACGTTGACTGCATTGGCAACAACATGTTAACAACTGTTGCAAATGAGCTGAGGGGAGGTCTGATCCTCTTCAAGGGTCGCATCTGCTTTGGGAACCCTTAAGAGTACTTGGGGCAGTTCGGCGCCATACGGTTCGCCAAACCCGATCTCGAGTTCCGTCAGGAGTGAGGCGGTAAAAAGATTGACGATGAAATGGGGTTGAAGATGGGCATAGATTTGTCAAGAAAAGCCAAGAGAGTGTGACTCGACGAAAAATGGGATAAAAGGGATTTTTGAGTTGGCGGCGCTGAAAACCAAAGTAGAAAGATGTTGAAATGGAGACGGTAGAAATGTATGAAAAAACGCTCGCATCCACGTCTATCCTTCAGTTAGACTTTTCGTTTGTCCTGCCGTGGTGGAGACGGCACAAGAATGCCCTAAACTACCAGAAAGTATGACCGGTTGCCAGCCTGGTCACTTTTTATGCCTGATTTTGCCAACTTACTCAGACATTTCATGATTTATGTTGCAGTCTCTTTCATTTTGTCTGAAAATTGAAGTGAAAATGATTCGTAATTCGGCTTCACTGAAAGCTGTAGAGGGACTGCTTTGGCTCCGTGACTGTAGATTTGTGCCAATACATCCTCGACGTATTCTTGCTGAGCTGTCTTGTCTTAGTGACTAGGGAATTATCGTAAAGCATG